GAGCTCTTCAATCAATACACAAGCATTTATTAAGTGCCTAATTTGTGCCAGGCATCATTTGGTACTGGCCATACGAAGACAAAAAATGCAAATGCTCCCAGGAGTTTCTATCTAAATACTTAAAGCAATATGTACACAGATAAGTAAATTATATATATATATATATATTTGATGTCATACACATACATTTTTATTTATTTAGTATATCTATAACTATATACGTAGATGCATAGCAGCTAAGTGGCACAGTAGAGAGAGCACTGTGCTTGGAATCAGGAAAACTCATCTTCCTGAGTTCAAATCTGGCCACAGACACTTAATGGTTGTGTGACCCTGGGCAAGTTATTTAACATCATTTAACTCAGTTTCCTCACCTGTAAAATGAGCTGGAGAAGGAAACGGCAAACCACTCCAGTATCTCCACCAAGAAATTCCCAAAATTGGGGCAGCTATGTAGCGCCATGGATAGAGCACTGGCCCTGAAGTTAGGAGGACCTGAGTTCGAATCCAGCCTTAGACCAAACACTTGACACTTACTAACTGTGTGACCCTGGGCAAGTCATTTAACCTCAATTGCCTAAAAAAAATAATAAATTCCCAAAATGGGGTCATGGAGAGTCAGACATGACTGAAACAACTGGACAACAAAAATGTGCACAAAGCATACAGAGAGACAGAGAGAGAGAGAGAGAGAGAAAGGGAGAGAGGGAGGGAAGGAGGGAGAGAATAAATATCAAGTACTTTCATGGGAGTACTAGCAGCTAGGGGAGGGCATCAAGAAAGGCTTCATGTAGGAGGTGGCCCTGGATCTGAACCTGGAAGGAAACTAGGGATTTGAAGAGGTGGAGGTGAGGAGATAGTGCTTTCCAAACATGAAGGAACATTTAGGCAAAAGCACAGGGGTAGGAGATAACACATCATGTAGTGTGAACAACAAATAAGCCAGTTTAGCTGAATTGTAGCTGGATATGAAGGGGAGTGATGTATAATAAAGGAGCTATGTGGTTCAGTGGATTGAGTGCTGGACCTAGAGTCAAAAAGTCCTGAGTTCAAATATGGCCTCAGACACTTACTAGCTGGGTGACCTTGGACAAGTCACTTAACCCTGTTTGTCTTAATCCCCTGGAGAAGTAAATGGCAAGCCACTCTAGTGTCTTTGCCAAGAAAACCCTATGGTATGGTCCACAGGGTCACAAAGGGTCAGACATAACTGAACAACAAATGAATAATAATCCTGGAAAAAGTACTGGAAAAGTAGGCTGGAGCCATGTTGTAAAGGGCTTCGAATGCCAAATAGAAATTTGTATTTCATCCTAGAGGCAATAGGGAGCCACTGAAGCTTTTGGAATAGGGTTGTGACATGTTCAGAAGCCTGCCTTATGGATATTAATTTGGCATCTGTGCAGAGGATAAACTGGAAAGAGGTGAGTCTACAGGCAGGGGAAACAATTTGGAGATTTCTGCAAGAGTCCTTGTAAGAGACAATGATGGCATGAGTAGTAAAAATGCATGGATGTTGAGATGTTGGAAAAGTAGGATTGATGTGGCTTGACAAGTGCTTGGATATGGTAGTAAAGGAGAATGATGTGTCAAGGGTATTTCTGAGGTTGTGCAACTGGGTGACTGAAAAGGTGATTTCTCCCTAGAAATAGGGAAGCTAGGAGAAGGCGCATATTGGAAGTCAAAGATAATGAATTCTGCTTTGGTTATTTTGAGTTTGTGACACCAACAGGCAATGGGTGATGCATGACTGGAGCTCAGGAGAGAGACTAAGTCTGGATATATGAATCTGGTACAGCCATCCCACATCGTGATTTTTGCCATCATGGTTTCAATATATTGTGGGTTGGCATAAGACATTAAATTGGAATTTTGGGGGAGTTTTGTGGAAGCTGCAGACAACACACAAAAGCCAGCAGACGTTATGGAAAAAGTTTAGAAACTCAGAAATTCAGAAAAGATATGTATAGTATTGTATAATATGAACATATTTTATCTTTTAATACCATAATAATTCAAACTTCTTTGCTGGTATGAAGGGAGGGCTAAAATATTTTACATAAGTTTTCTAGATCATGGGGGCACCGCAGACCTAACCCTCATGATGTGGAAAGGATAACTGTAGTTATCTGCTTAGAGATAATAGTTGAACCTATGGAAACTATTGAGAATAATAGAAAAAGGATAAAAGAAGGCCTTGGTCATAGTCTTAGGGCATACCTACAGTTAGGGGGCAGGAGATAGATGATTCCAGAGATAATTATCCCAACAGACTTAGAAGAAGCAGCCAGACCAAGTAGGAGAATCAAAAATGAGCTCATGAGAACCCAGAGAGGAAGGAAAATTTAGGAAGAGAGGATCGGTGCTGCCAAGTACCACAAATAGGTCAAGTAGGATGAGGAATGGTAAACACCCAACTTAGCCATACAGAGCCCTGCTATACCTTTACAGAGAAATTGTTCAGCAGTCTTTTAGACAAATGGCTTTGAAAAGTAAGAAACCACTGGTAACTTTGAAATCAACCTTCAGAAGACAGATTGCAAAGTGTTAAGAATCTAGTGAGAGGAGAGGAAGTAGAAGCAAAGAGAATAGACAGCTTTTTCAAGGAGTTTGGCTGCGAAATACAGAAGAGACATGGGATGATAGTTTAAGGGAATGGTAAGGCCAAGCAATTCTTTTTTTTAAGGATACAGAAGACTGGACCATATTTGTAGACAGCAGGGTGGGGAATCAGTTGATAGGAAAAGATTTAATACTAAAGAAAAGTGATGATTGAAGGGTTGGAATTGAACAATCTTCAGATCTATCTACAGACATCAGCTAAGTGGACAAGTCACTTAACTGCTTTGAGCCTCAGTTTCTCCATTTGTAAAATGGAGATAGTGATAGTATTTAACTCACAAGGTCTTTGTGCACATCAAATGAGATGAAACAGGTATATCACTATATCAATGTCAGCTATTATTAGAAAGTTCCTTAAATCAACTTGCAAAAAAATTGAGTTGGGGGTGATGCAGGAAGTAGAAGAGTAGTTCTTGAAGTGAAAGGGCCTAGAGAGAAATGAGGTAATAAAAAAAATCTTTACTTGGCCCACAGGCCTGAATTTGCACCCAGTCTTACTTCTGTTGTTCAGCTACTTAGATGGCCTTTTAAAATTGCGCTTACCATCTTTGAAGCATCTCAAGCTCCTAGCAGATTTCAATTAAATCTCCCTGGCCATTTCCACCACAAATAATAATGATAATGGATCCCATTTATGTTTTACCCTTATATATTTCCTGGGAGTTAAGAAAGTGGAGGGGAGGGATGGTGAGAAAGACCACTTGATGAATTCTGGAAAAGTTGCTTCTTTATTTTCTCACTCTTCAATTTAGACACAAATTTCCTAACTTCCAGTAGCTTTCTGATGCGTATGACCTCATCACCTGGTAGAAAGGGCCCAGGAAATTCTCCTTGTCCACTGGGACAATTCCTGGGCCCGCAGTGGGCATCTCAGAAAGTCTGGGCATGGGATTTGAGATCAGAGCAGAGGTTGAGACTCCACCTACAATAATTATTAGATTTAAAGATGTGAGGAACCTTAGCAGCTACTGAGTCTTAACTCCCTCGTTTTAAGAATGAAGAAACTGAACCCTAGAAAGGTTATGTCTTGCCCAAGGTCACATAGCTAGACAGGTCCAGAGCTAGGATTCAAATCTATATCCTTTGACTCCAAATCCATCACATTTTATGCTGTCTATCTTTAAGACACAGCTCAAGCACCATCTTTTTCTTTTCTTTTCTTTTCTTTCTTTCTTTCTTTCTTTGTTTTTAGTTTTCAACATTCATTTCTATAAGATTTTGAGTTCTAAATTCTCTCCCTTCTTCCCTTCTCCCCTCCCCAAGATGATGTACAATCTGATATAGGCTATACATGTACAATCATAATAAATATATTTCCACATTAGTCATGTTGTAAAAAAGAATTAAAACCATGAGAAAGAAGAAACAAAAGAGAGAAAAAGAGAAAATAATATGCTACAATCTGCATTTATACTCCATAGTTCTTTCTCTGGATGTGGATAGCATTTTCCATCATGAGTCTTTTAGAATTGTCTTAGATTCTTGTATTGCTGAGAAGAGTTAAGTCTATCAAAGTTGGTTATCGCAGAATTAAAGCACCATCATTTATACAAAGTCTTTACTGATACCCTCTTAACCACCTATGTTTTTACTCCCTAACCTATTCCATATTTATTTTTGTTAGTCTATGTATGCTTATGTATGTGCATATAGAATGTAGGTTTCATGAAGGCAGGGCTCTTTTCATTTTTTGCCTTTGTATCCCTAGTGCCTAGCACATAGCAGGCGCTTCATAAATGCTGATAGATTGACTGATTGATTGAAGAAGACTATCTTCCTCCAGTCCACTGTGACACTCCCTTCTTTGCTTTTCTGGCTTTCTCTCTTCTTTCTCCTATCATCATCCTGCTCCCATTTTCTCCCTCCCTTTTTGCATCTGGGTGACAAGAGGAAGCCTTGGAGATCAGAGGTGACAACCCAGCACACCTAGGGAAATACATCAAGTATGCATTTTCAGCATCTGGCAGGAATGAGGGAGAAGGAGCAGACGGGATGGCTGTAGGCAAAAAGGGGGCGGGGGTGGGAACGAGCAGGAGATGCTTTTCTCCCCAGACCTCTTACTCACTCCTAGAGGCATTGGTTTTCTTTCCTCCTTTTCCCCACCTTTCCTCTCTGTTCATTCAGATATGATGTTCCAGGATCACATGGGATTACTCTCGCTCTCTCATTCTCTTTCTCTCTCTTTCTAACTCCCTCCTCTCCTGGCCCTTTAAATAGGTTTATTATGTAGAGAATTCATTTACTGGAAAAAGAGAAATAGGTGGGGGCCGGGGAGGAGAGAAAGAGGAGGAGGGAGGGAGGGGGGAGAGAGAGAGAGAGAGAGAGAGAGAGAGAGAGAGAGAGAGAGAGAGAGAGAGAGAGAGAGAGAGAGAGAGAGAGAGAGAGAGAGAGAATGGCAAAGACAGCTAGCTAGCCAAGAAGCAGGAGAGGGGAGGGGGAAGCGACTGAACTGGCAGAAGAGGGAACAGGATGGCACTATCCAGCTACCACCCACATAGCCCCAGGCCAAGGAGAGGCTCAGGTAGGAAGAGGTTAAGAAACCCTGAGCTCCGGAGACGGAAGCCATCCGTGTGCTGGTAATGGCTCAGATTGAAGAGTCCCAGAGGGAATCCTTGACTGTGCTCGACTGTGCTTCCTGCGCTGGTTCGACCAGTTACCCCCAAAGTTGCTGTCAGCTGGACACCGGCAGCACCCTTATCGGCAAGTAAGTTGTGTTCTTTTTCTTTGTCCTCTATTTAGCAGCCGGGGAGACCTGGGAGCGATCAAGGGAGTTGGTGAACTCCTCTCGAGCGAGCCTTTGAGGTAGAGCGGAAGGAGGCATCCCTGGGGGATGGATATGCGGGCCAAATTCAGCAGGTGGCCGCACTGCCAAAGGGCACCTGCTGCGGAGGGATTAGCCTAGGAAAGGGCACGGCATGGGGTTAAAAGTTCAGCCAGGAAACTAGGAGACGTTCTTGCTACTGGGACCGATTGAGTAATTCAGGATTTTAGCTTGAGGAATTATTATTGCTTTCCCATGGTTAGCCCCTAATAGGGGCTATTTGAAAGACTTCTGCAATGGTAACGACGCTGTTTAGGGGCGGGGATGGAGAAATGGATGGGAGGATAGGGGAATAGAATTGTGTAGGGATCCAGTTGGCTATTAGGTGGAAAGGGAGATTTCCGTGGCATCGGCCACTTCAAAAGTGTGTGTATGGGGAAGTGGCAACATACAGGGTGTATATAATGCTCTGCTTGCCACAAATCTTCACCTCAGTCCTGCTTTCTCTTTTAAAGCCTGCCAAGCAGGAAACACTGCTTCACTATTTTTCCCCTTCCTGGGCTTTATTCCATAGGATTGAAGGCTTAAAGGTCATCTAGTCCAATCCCCTCATTTTACAAAAGAAAAAAGTGAGACCGAAAGTAGTAAAAAAAAAAAAAAACCTAGCCCAAGACCATATAGGTAGTAAATGGCAGAGTCTGAATTTGAGCCCAGGTCCTCTATCTCCTGCCCTATTTTCCACTATACTATATATCCTGTCTAATTGGCTATCCAGCTTTTTGTAATATTTTGCAATATTGTTCAATGAATCTTGTGGTCAGGGTCCCTGCCAAAACAGGCCAGAGGGAGGTAATACTATACTGGAAAGAGCTATGGATATGGGCTCTGAGGATCTGGGTTGGAATCCTGGCTTTGCAATTTGCTACTTGTGTGGCACTGGGAAAGTCAATTCTCTGTACCTCAGTTTTGTCTTCTATAAAATTGGGAGTTTGGGCTAGGGGTTCCTAATCTTGGCCCCATGGATCTCCAAGGTGCCCCATGGATAGATTTCAGGGGCTCACCAAATTGGATGAGAAAAAATTACATCTTTGTTTCCATTATGCTCTGACTGAAATCTAGTATTTCCTTCGATTATTAACGTAGGCAACAAACATTCTAAGAAAAGGTATATTGTCTTCAACAAACTGCCAATGGGGTCTATAACACATATAAAAAAGTTAAGAACTCCTGGGTTAGATGATTCATGAAGTCTCTTTCAGCTCTGAAGCCTATGGTTATCATACTTAGCCCCACTGAACCATTTCACCTCCATACAGAGAAATCCTATAAGCTGTGCCTATAAGCTCTATAAGTCTGATGCCTTTCTGCAAGAGAGGGAACTCCCCAGTGAAGGATCCTTGGGACTGGGCTTTGCCTCCTGTCTGTGTGAGTTCCTCTGGATTTTGGAAAGGGGCCAGGTTCCTTTCTCCAGACCCACCCCATCCCTTGCCCTCAGATGTTCAAAAGTTCCAAGAGCTGTCCTAGATATCAGACTGGGTGGCACAAGCTAAGGAACTACACCTGAGAGCCCTGTCCAAGCATCAAGGGCAGAAGGGTGGTCTAGCCTTTCATAAAGACCCTGCATTATCCGGTACCATCTCAAAGCTCACCAACTGATATGAATGCGGTCCTTAACCTGCCCTAAAAAGACCAGTTGAAAAGCTGGAAAGGACTTGGTAATGAAAGAGTTGTAGAGGAAATGTGCATTCTCTAAAACAGCTCTAGACCCATGTTATCACACTTGGAAAATAATACAAAGGTGTCTGGTGTGGGAAGCATGTGTGGGTGTGTGGTAAACATCAAGAAGAAACTGTCACTCCAAGAAGGAATGACATCACTCCAGTTACAGGTGTAATGTAGTAGAACCTGCCCTATTCAGTGGTAAGGGGAAAGTGGGGGAGGATGGGAAAGGTGGAAAGGTTATGTCCAGGGCAGGTGGTTGAGAAGGAATGGAACTGGACTCAAGTAACATATAATGTCAGAGCTGTTGTTAGATGTGACAGTCATATACATGGTCTGCACAGACGTATCAGGACTGGGCTTTCCCACAATATCCCAACTCAGGCCCAAGCACTTCTCATATCCTCCTAAATCTGCAAATAACTGGATGTACCTGCTAGGAGTTACAAATAGATCCCAACCCGGTATTTCTTACCAAGGTCCCGTCCAGGTGGCATTGAACCATTATGTCTACCTTTCTAGACAGATGGGTCCATGAGGGTCCAGTGTGCCCAGACTAGAAGAGAAGAAACAGAACAGTTAGTCAGAAAGATTTATGAGGGAAGAAGACTGCCTCAGTGGCTTCCAAGTCATGGCTCCCCAGGGTTTCCCAGTGCAACTTTCTCCCAATCTGTGCTTTGCAAATCCCACCCAGAGCATCCTGGGCAGTTCAGAGCCTGTCCTACCATGGAGCCCAACAGAGACATCAGCTCAGCTCAGTCACAAACAGCAGTTCCTCCATGATTCCCCAGCTGCCTGCTGCACTCACATCAATCCAACTGAATCCCTTTGTTGTCCCCACAGATGCTCCCCTTGGCCCCAGAAGATTTCTGCTGTGCCTGGCATGAACTCTGGTCTGGGGATTCTTACATCTGCTTCAGTCTTTATGTGATGAAGGTAACGAAACAGCAGGGGAAACCAATGGGAATTCCCATTTGCCAGTTTTCATTTCTTCTGCTCTCCCCGAAAGCCTTCCTGACCTTTATGTTTTTAATAGCTAATGGGTAGCCAAACACACTCCACATAGTGAAGAGACACCCATGACCTATTTGCGTTTAGTCTAGAGGCTGTGTTGTTACAGCATGAATCCAGGGCACTAGAGTAGGACATAATTTCCATTCGTGTGTCTCTCAGTTTCTCCACCAGCAAAAGAGGCCTCGATATCCCAACTCCACAGTCTATCTGTGAATGGCCCATTTTGTGTATTTCCAGTTTTAGCAGAGGAAGCATCCTTAGAGACCATCTAGATTGGCCCTTCACTAGAGCACTTCTATGACTCGCCCCAGGTCCAAAAGGTAATCAGTAACAGGTTGTATGCACTAAGTGGTGTGGAAGAAAGAGTGCTGACTTCAAGTGAAGCAAAATCGAGGTTCAAATCTCACCTCTAATATTCACTATGTGATCACTGATAAAAGCATTTAACCTCTTCTCCAAGCTTCCATTTCCTCATCTGTAAAATGAGAATGATAATATCTGTAGTATTTATTTAACAGGGCAACTAGGTGGCTCACTGGATAGAGCACCAGGCCTGGAGTCAGGAAGACTCATCTTCCTGAGATCAAATCTGGCCTCAGACACTTACTGGCTATGTAACTGTAGGTAGGTCACTTCGGTTTTCTCATCTGTAAAATGAGCTGCAGAAGGAAATGGCAAATCACTCCAATAACTTTGCCAAAAAAATCCCAAATGGGGTCACAGAGAGTCAGACACAACTGAAAATGACTGAACAGCAACAACTTGTTTAATAGGATGTGTGTGTGTGTGTGTGTGTGTGTGTGTGTGTGTGTAGCATGTCTCAAAACTCTTAGTACAGTTTTAAGCATGATAGCTTAAGCCACAATTCAAACTTCAGATCCTCTGACTCCAATGTCATTGTTTATTCCACTATACTATGGACAAGCCAAAGGAAATCTTAAATCCTATCCTCCATTCTGCTTCAGGGTTACCCCTCTCTACTGAGAGGCCTTAACTGTTCAGGGGAAGCCAACTCATAGTCCTAACTGGAGACTATTCAGAAAATGAATCAGCTCCCTCCTCTAACTCCCCAGTCATAATCCCATAAGGCTCTACAAAGCCTATCAGAAAAAAGTTTCAGATTCTCCCATGTGAATTGACTCCAGATTCTCTATGCTGATGGATAGGAGCAATGACAGAGACTTGTCTATGTGGCCTTGGAGTGCATTATGGGATCATTTTGGCAGCAAATTTATATTTCTAATTATGTTTTGCTTAAGTTAAAATGTGTTGCATTCCCTGATCAAATGTTTTCTGGGTACTTTGGGGGAAGAAAAAAAATTGGGAGGAGGGAGAGACAAGGAACTGGGCCAGCTAAGTGATCTAGGAAAGGCATGTGGGGATTAAATATTCATTGTAGATAACTCAGGGCAGCTTAATACTTTGGCCACATAAAGAGAAGACAGAATTCATTTCAAAAGACCCTGATGTTGGGAAAGATTGGAGGCAAAGGGAGAAGGGAAAAGCAGAGGATGAGATGGATGGATATTGTCATGGAAGCAATTAACATGAGCTAGGACAGACTTCAGGGGATAGTGGAAGATAGAAGGGCCTGATGCACTATGATCCATGGGGTCAAGAAGAGTAAGACAAGACTCAACAATAACAACAACAGTAGATAGCCCACCTTCAGATGAACATTTATTCCATTTAATTGAAAAACCAAGAGTTGGGTATATTCCAAGTATGGTTATTCTGATCAGGGTGGGTAGTAACATCAGTAACAAAAAGCTTTTCCAACCTCCCTAAAGGCAGAATAAGAGGCAGTGATTGTAAAGCAGCAGGATGGATTGAAGTTAGACTGAGCCAAGAGCACTAGAATTTCATCCTCTGAGGATTTTTTAAGGTAAGGAGCAGGCATCTTCTTCCTCAGAGGACTTTGATCCAGGCTTGCCTAAGGGGCTTTCAGATGGACTAGATGAATTGCTGTCAGCATGATTTTTTTCATTCCTCCAACCTTGGCATTTTGATAAGCAGGCTATTCTGGTAAACAGAGGCCATGAAGGGGTAAATAACTCTCCAAAGATCCTTGCTGCAAGATGAGAGCCTGAATCAGACTTTTAACACATGGCCCTAGAGGCTGGTTCATTATCTCTCTAACCCAGGGGAGGAAAGAGGCTGGAAAGATCTGACAAGCCATTGGCCAGCAGCCCTAGCGCTCTGTGGACGCCAAAAGGCAAGGAGAACGAGAGCCTGTCTCTCAGGCACCTGCCCTTGCATCTCTCTCTCCCTGATGCCTATCTGGCTTAACTCGGATACTGTTTGCCCTAACTGGTTTTGGTTATGTACTGTCTGTCTCCACATAGCTAGTACTCTCTGCTTTAAAGCCAAGCAGTCCCCACTTCTGTGAGCCAACACTTTCTGGTGTGCATTAGAAAAGAGAGAAATGAAGTGACTCTAATACACTGAAAAAAATGCAATCAATCATTGTAGATAACCAACTTCATTGTACCTACTATGCATATGAACTGCGTTCATAGCACCTACTATGTGTTAGATACTCAGAATAAAATGACCGATAAAAAAAGAGTTCCTGTCCTCAAACTTACTTTAGATGCATCACTTCTGTAGTCCCACCATCACCATTTTAGGCCAGGACCTCTTCCCTTCAGACCTGGATTATTAAAGCAGTTTCCTAGTTGTATTCATTGTCTGCAATGTCTTCACCTTCCAATTCACCCAACATACCACTGTCAAACTACAAATAAAAGTATTTTTGTCATGTCCTCTCCTCAACAACTTACCATATTGCCTAGTACGCAGTTCAAAATCTTGTGCGTTCCAAAGCACTCCATATTATGATCCCATCCTACATATAAACTGTTATTTCATACTTCCTGAAACATCTTGTCCATTCCAGACAGACATGCCTCACGGCCTGCAGAATACACTATTGCACTTAAAATTCATACCACATTCAAAATATATACACCCATATAACATGTATCTGTTTCATACACAATATAATTTGTTTCATTATACATCACTCCCCTTTATACACCATTCGTTCCATCCAGGCTGGCCTGTCTGCAGCCTGGCACATAGTAGGAGCCCAGTCGATGCTAGTTGACTGTCTTTCAGCCCCCACGATGTGCCATCGTTCCCTCTCTATGCCTGTGCAGAGGCTGTCTTCCGTGGCTGAAATGCACCCCCTCCTCCCCTCTCCCTATTGGTGTTCCTAGTTCCTTCAAAGCTCAGCTCAAGCACCATATCCTACTTAAGGCCTTTCCTGATTTCCCCCACTACTTCCCCCCAAAATTACCTTGCACTTATGTTTTATCTGCTCATATGTGAAGTGTTTTTTTTCTTGCTAGAATGTAAGTTTCTTGAAGGCAGGAAATGTTTCACTTTTGTTTTATAACCCGCGGCATGGTGCTTGGCGTATTGTAGGTGATTACTCGATTTATTGATTTCATATACAGTATATTCCCTACCTGGAACATAAGTTACTTCAGAAAAAGAACTATATCTCATACTTAAGCTTCCAAGAATATGAGAGCTGGAAGGGATCCTCTAGTCTAATTCTCTCAATTTGCAGATGACAAAACTGGGACCCACATTGGGTAACCCAGCATCACAGCTAGGTTAATGGCAGAGCCAGGGGTCAGAGGAATGGCACAGTGGATCGATTGCCAGGCCTGGAGTCAGGAAGGCTCATCTTCCTGAGTTCAAGTCTGGCCTCAGACATTAGCTGTGTGACCCTGGGCAAGTCATTTAACGCTGCTTGCCTCAGTTTCCTCAACTGTTAAATGAGCTGGAGAAGGAAATAGCGAACCATTCCAGTATCTTTGCAAAGAAAGCCCCAAATGGAGTCACAAAGAGTTGGACATGAAACGACTGAACAACAACAGAGCTAAGAATTCAGTTCTTCTGATAGTCAGATCAGGTGATTCTGAGGGCATCCAGAAACTCTCTTATTATCTCCTTATTTATTTTGAAAGGGAATATGGTATAATGAGTAGATCACTAGATTTGGGATAAGGACATGTAGGTTTAAAATCTACTTCAGATATTTGCTAGTTGGCTGTGCTAGCATTACTTCACCACTCATTGCCTCAGTCTCCTCATCTGTAAAATGGGGATAATGCTACTTATAATACTTATCTCACAGAGTTGTAAGAATAGTATTTCACAAACCTTAAAACACTCTATAAATATAAGTTATTAAGTTCTAGTTCCCCTTAGCCATCTTTTGCCTACACTCTCCAATTTGAAGGTTATTATCTTTCATATAGAAAATACACACAATATAGGAGTTTTGTAGCTCTGTTCTTTGGTAACCATTTATGACAATACCTTTATTAAGCACCTGCTGGGTGCAGAATATCTGCACCACACAGTAGTCCTATCCTTTCCTTCTTCTTCTTGTCACGTAATATGCTTTAAAATGTCTTTTTTTAAAAATTGTCCTTAGCATTTTTACAAGCATCAGCTCATCCTGGACTTTAGCTTTAGAATCATAACAGCTCAGAATTTGAGGAATAGAATTAACTGTCCCTTGACTAAGAAGAATATCCTTCTGGTGCTCTTCTTATTTTTTTTTTAATTTTCCTGTTTGTCTTTGGTTAACCTCCTTCCATTATTTATGGATGTTCTTTTAAAAATTTTTATTATTTAATTTTTAATTTATGGAATAAAACATGCATTTCCATAACATAGTATATTATAAAAGGTTCTTTTTAAATTAGAGAGCTTCTTGTGCAGCAACACTGGTTTCTAGAGGAATTATTCCTCCACCCTTTTCTTCCTGGTCACTATAATTTGCAATTTCATTACCAGAATTTCAGTTTTGAGAGTCTCCTATATTTCTTGTCATCTTCCCTTTAACTTCAGGTTATTGGACCGTGTGTGTGTGTGTGTGTGTGTGTGTGTGTGTGTGTGCA